TAAAATGGCTTTATCGATAAACTTTGTGTTTGCAATAAAATGATTTCAAATTCTCGCATGCAAGTAACTTTGCTTTCTTTTTTATTTAAAAAATTCAATATAGGCCTAATAAAAAAGGGAATCAATATTACTAATACACTGAAATTATATGCTGTCTTGTTTAGTTGTTTCATATACGCAAAGCCAAAGGACCAAAGCGGCCGTCGGGTTTTAAAGCAATTATAGAATCAATATTTAAAACAAACTTACCTTCGTTGACGTAGGCTCCCTTCTTTTATCCGATTCTCTCGCCCTTTCTTTCTTGAAATTTACAAAATCTCTGCAAAAATGCGAGCAAAAATTAAATATATTTGCAAGAAATTTATCAATCATCAAATCAAGAAATGTTTGCTATTTCGCTGTCGTCATACAGTCGACAGTCGTTATAATGCAAACTTTAAATTGGACCAATCAGTGTCCGCTATTCATGACAGTCCGCCATATTTTTGAGATCAGTGAGGATGCCCACCCACCGAACCACCGAACCACTCACAGTGACCCACGCCCGCGTTCATTGATGACTCTTTAGACTTGGCTAATGCTTTCGTTTCCCCGGGTGTAAATAGCCGGGGAGAATTAGTACCCTCGCACAGCGCGGCTCGGGGATAAAATATTATACCAATTCTTAATTTGCAATTAAGTAATATTAAAATAAAATTTATATGTATCAATTACATAGTCCGAGTGTAGTAAACCACGAACAAAGAGGAAATCCCGCTTACATTAACGTTGGTCCATTACATTAGCATACCTGACTTATGCGAGCCCTCCAGAGAAAACTAAAAGCGCTAGAGACAAGCTGATTTTTTGAAATAATGTGTAATTTATCAGGAAAGAATGAAAAATAATATTTAAAAGATATGTTAATTTTTGGCTGAGATAGAGCGTTTTTAGTATGCTGACTTGTCGACTGACTTGCGATAAGTGTCAATATGCGGCGGTTCTACGACTTGTCTTGTGCAAGCTGTTCAGTCAAAGTTTAAATCGGTATAAGCTTAAAAATAATCTCATATGATGCGAATATTATGGGTAAAGAATAAAAATATATATTATGACGATAAAGTAACTGGTGGCGGAGAACGAGCGTTTTAATAAATCGCTAAGCGGCACGCGTGTTTGCAGGCTCCGTCAATATGTTCGGTGACATAATTTATGCGAGCCCTCCAGAGAAAACTAAAAGCGCTACAGACAAGCCGAATACTTTAGGTGATGTAGAAAGTATCAGTGAAGAATGAAAAAAAATATTATTGCGCTACATTTATTCCTTAGGACAATACATCGATTTAGATAGGAACTAACCGTATCTTGCTCAAGATTTAATTGACCCGACACGGTTTGGCGACTTGACTTATGCAAGCTGTTTAGAGCAATCTAGAAGAAGTAGCGACTCAGTGATTGCTTTTTAATATATGATAGTCCTTTTCTTGAAGAAGATGAAAAAAAATATTGTTAGGATGGGTGAAGGCTTTGTGGAGTTAGAACCATTCGAACACGATCGTCATGCCTCTGGCTCCAGATTCAATCTGAAACTGGAGCTGACTGGCTTCTCGTACGTTTATAGTTAATAGTCTAGTATATTTTGGTAAGTTTGGTGTATATGATGAGTAAAAGTTGTTCTCCAGCTTTATTATACAGAAAATACTGTACATCTGACGGTCCCCAAGCGGGGGTCAAACCCGCAACCTCTTACTTTCTACGTAAGCGCGCTAACCGAGAACTCAGTAATCGACGAGAGGTTTCAAGCAATCTGGTTCGAGTAATGATGTTATGTCTGCTTCGTATTTGAAACTTGTCTGAATTTTTACAAATGAAAAATCCCCTTAATTAAAAAATATCATTTTAATTACAAAATTATCAATTTCCCAAGGTAGGTAGCTACGTTAATAAATTATATACGTAATATAAGCTTTCATTTAAGGTAAAATTCAACAACAAACATTTCGGAAAACGTTTTAAACTGTTCTTTGTAAAACTAAACTGCCTCTATCGATAAACCTTGAGTTTGAGATAAAATGATTTCAAATTCTCGCATGCAAATAACTTTTCTTTCTTTTTTATTTAAAAATTTTAATATATTGATAAAAAAGGGTAATCAATATAGATATACACTGAAATTATATATGCTTATATAAGTAGGACATATGCAGTGATCTACTCTAATGCGCATATCAAACATAGACAAGCATTTGAAATTTAGATCATTTTTAGGTCTGAATTGATATAAACATAAATATAAAGTCCATATAAACGCATGGAGGGATATAATAATAATATATAATAAAATGCAAATACTGCTATATTAAGAAATGCGATATAGCCCAGATCTCCCACAGCGGTCTGCAGTATTGGCCTTTGCGAGATTCCATATACAACAACAAACAACAAAAAACACTAGTAGTCTAGGACCTGTATAGATGTTTGTATGCGTTTCATTTAGCACAGGTAATCTCAACTGTTTTAGGGTAAAATGACCATGGCGGTGAACATGGCATATGTGCCAAAACCTGAATCCGGGGCGAAAGTCCTGAAAATGACCCCGCCCTGAAACGGCAGTGCCGAAAAGCAAAAGCGACAGGCTTTCTGAAGTGCTTATGGTGTTTAGAAGGGTTGCTTTTAGGGGTGGTCATTCGAAGCAAAAATTTGTCTAAGTATAATATTTTACCAGAAAATGACTATGCACCACCCCAGGTAAATTGCTGATTATGCACAAAATAACTAATATGCCTAGCAGAAATTTAATGTTCTTATTTCCTAAAGAAAATTATCATGGGATCAAAAACTATGCTTAATTTAATATAATTATTGTAGGGTTCATAAGGATTGTCATTATTTTCTTTAAATATAATACATTTTAATTCACTCACCCCCCACGAAAACACCATTTCAGCCATACTTTGCCGTCTTGTTTGCTTTTTATCGCCGAGTCTCGCTGATATCATCCAGTTGTTGTACTTTTACATAATGATAGATGGCTAAAGACGATTTCGACGAAGTTTAATGAAGTTTTGAAACAGTGCAGTATATTTTATCTTCGATATTGTTTCCTTCGATATTTCGTCAAATTGCCGCCATTTTAATGGCTCGCCGCTTCTCTGCCCGATAAATGCCACTTCTTCGTCTTCCTATGTGTTTAGACTACAGTATCCAAGTAAAATGTAAGCTACGAGCAGCTTTTAAGGCAATTATAAAGCAAACAATACATCTACCGGGTGTCCCAAAAAAAAGTACTCCGGTTTGATTTATAATAACTTCTAAACAATTAACGCTATCAAACAGAAATAACTTGCATTAAATAGAGGAAGGACTAACTTAGATTTTGATATATTACAGTTGTATTTTGCTTAAAAATTCACGGAGATATTAATGTTCAAAATCGGGAGCATATTTTGGTATGTGTCTAAAATTAGCGAAAATCGGCATATCAAATATTAACTCCAGCGTTTGTTTGATTAATGACATATCAGGCTAATTGTCGTTAGGGTTTGTAAGGGATATAGCGTAGATTTAGACATCTTACATGTAAGTCTTAGCTCGTTGTTTCCTGAAATATGAACGTTCAAAATTATGAAAGTATTTAATAGGTCTTTGGCTTTGCAAACTTAAAGGTACATGAAAGACCTTGAAGGCAGGCGCTTAAATTTTTCTTAAACAGCCTAACTTTTTTATGTTTCACATGGGTTCAAAACAAAGTTGATTATTTCTCGGTTAGGGCAGGATGAATATTATTATTTAATGAAGGAAATAATATTGCTTTTTGCAAATACACATCAAAGTATCAACGCTACTATTTTGTTACGTTTTGTTCCAAAAATGTTGGATGTCTCTGGGGAGTTGTTTGTTATGTCTTTAATTATGGAGTTGTATGGTTTGATCGTGTTTTATTCTCAGTTTATTCTGAACTTGCCAAGATTAAGAAAGGAAAAAGAGTTTGGGTGTTCTTAATTAACAAGATTTCAGAACGTTGCAGAAGTTAGAAAATTCATTCAATGTGAAGTTAGAAAATTCACAATTCCATTGTGACAGCATGCCCTAATTCAGAACTGCAAACGATCCATGACGATCCTTCGCGATGCAGTGGTCTCATGAAAAAAGGAAACGTATTCGTGCTGGGAACACATGCGGATTTCGGACGAATTATTTTGTAGATAATAATACTTTGTTTCATAATAAACAATTTGTCAAGTGTCATTTATTTACTGGTAATAGTGCATGTTTCAGTCGGGCAAATCTTCATTAATATTTGATACGCCGTTTTTTGCATATTTCAGACACATCCAGAAATATGCTCCCGATTTTAAACATTAATATCTTTGTGAATTTTTACGTGAAATACAACTGTAATATATCAAAATCTAAGTTAGTCATTCCTCTATTTGATGCAAGTTATTTCTCATTGAAAGCTTTACCTGTTTAGAAGTTATTACGAATCAAACCGGAGTACTTTTTTTTGGGACACCCGGTATATTTAAAACAAACTTACCGTCGTTAACGTCGCGCCGTCTCTGTTCCCTCCTTTTAGCAATTATTTAGCCTTTCTTTTTCAAAAAAGTATTTCAAATCTACAAAATCTTGAAAAATGAAATATATTTGCAAAAAATCATCAATCAAGAAATGTTTGCTATTTCGCTGTCGTCATTCAATCGTTATAATGCAAATTTTAAATTGGACCAACCAGCGTTCGCTATTCCTGACAGATTGCTATATTATGAGATCAGTGAGGAGGACCACCCACCCAACCACGCACTGTAACCCACACCCGCGATCGTTGATAAACTTTCGACTTCGCGAATGCTTTCCTTTCCGTTGGGGTAAATAGCCGGGCGGAATTAGTACCCTCGCTCCGGGCTTACGCCTGGAACGGCGCTCAGCGCCGTTGGCTCGGGGAGTAGTTCAGATAAAGATAGAATAAATGATAGAATAAATTATTCATCTTAAAAAATTATTCTTGTAGGATTCGCATAATGGCTATTGAAAGTACATTTGACAAAAGATGCCTATCCATTGCAGCACCAACTGAATTATCGTTTATGACAGCCACAATATCTATCGTGTTTATCCTGACCAATATTCCTGGAAACATCCTCGTCATCTTGGCTGTTTTTTTCGATCCAAATAAAAACTTACGAACTCCATTCAACTGGTTGGTGGTAAATTTAGCTGCTGCTGATTTAATTATTGGCTTTATCACTGAGCCTTTCTCTGTTTATTATCATATCAAAGAAGGCCTGAAAAAGAGCAGCGTTGCTGAGGAGTTAATAACCATCCATATGGTTTACTTTATCTCATGTACTGCCTCGGTTCTCAGTCTTACAAGTTTGGCAGTTGAAAGATATCTTGCTGTGCGAAAACCGAACACTTATCGTACTAAAGTGACTAATAAGCGAATTGTGTTAACAATAGTTATGATTTGGTTGATCTCGTTGAGTTTACCTAACATTTATCTCGATGTTGGTTTTACTACTTACGGCTTCATATTTGCAAATACCTCTATTGCAATTACTGTTTTAATCACCACCATAACGTACACCTTAATGAGGCAAAAGATCAATAAAGGAATTACCAAAAATGCAAGAAAAAAGACTGCAGCATCAACATCAACAGATTTTGTCATTACAAAAACAGATTCCCCAAATGTTATCATCCACAGCAGAGAATTGTTGGAAACTAACCAAACTCCTCCATCAATTTCCACCGAAGCAAACAACTCACCATCGCAAGAGCGAAATCAGCTTCCAACGGTCGATATAAACCTAAGTACCTCGAATGCTATCACTAATAGCCGACAACTGCTGGAAGAGAAGATTACTAAAATGTTCCTAATCGTTCTCATAGCTCTGTTGTGTTGCTATGGACCATCAACTATAATGATGTACTTGGTAAACTTCTGCGAAGATTGCAGTTGTATCACCCTTCAGTGGTGTCGTGACGTCCATATAATGTTCGCTCTTATGAACTCCAGCACTAATTTTTTCTGCTATGCTTTAAGATGCAATAGATTTCGAAGCGCGTTTTTCAAATTGTTAAAAATTAACCGTTGATATTGTAGATATTTGACCTGGGTATTTTAAAGAAAAATAGAACTACATATACCAGGATGTTACGAAGCAATTTTACCTCAAATTACAACAAGCAACAATTACTATATTACTGTAAAGTGTTATTTTCATGATGAACACAACTAGGAAGAACAAACATATGTCTTTCAACGTGATATGACTAGTTTTGTTGCAAGTTTGCATATTCTTGAATATTCTTTCCAAGCAATGATAGTCTACAGTATTTTTGGGTTGGTAAACAAGTGTTATCATAGGGTTTTTTGTCCAATATGTAGATATTTCGTATCTATTTAGCATGTACGTATACAGGTAGTGTCCATTGTTTGTCATCATTATTGCCCAACAACTTGTTAGGTTACTGTACATATAAAGATATGCAATATCGTGGCATACAATGCTCTTGACATCTATATGGTAGATTGGAGACAATACGACAATTTCATAATAAATGTCAGATTCTGTAGATAGGTAATATATCTAGACAATCTTGTAAATCAGTATTCTTGTTTCAATAGAAATACATTTCTGTTAATCCAGAAGCTTTCATCAATTCTCTTGCGATGTATTATTCTATATTTGCTATAACAACCATTCGGTTTCATCCAACAGTTAACATGGTACAATTCACACCCGTCAGAATTGCAAAACCATGGAAAAAATAATTGTTAGTATGAGACATTTACGTAGAAATACTTAGCACATAAATTAATGAAAATACAGCTAGGCTCAGATTCCAGCCGTTGGGTTCTTGGCTCTCGCCCCCCTAACGGCTGTGTCAATGGCTAAAACATTTCATGTCTGTACCGTCAGGGTTAATATTTAAATTTATGCATACGTTTTGCATAATTTAAAGAATTCTGTATTTCCATGTTGTGTAAAATGGCGGCTGTCAGGAGCGAACAATTTTGTTTCGAAGAGGAAATAGAAAATTTTAACAACTTTGTGCTTTCATCGATAACTTTTTGTAATGGAAAACAACATCGGAGCTTTTAAATTCACTTAAGTTCTATGTTTTTGAAGAAGAAAGGAACTGCACAGGACACGAGTCAATGAATATCTTAATCGTAAAATAATAATCCATACCAACAAATTAGCAGGTGAATCTGAATAATTAACGTCTAGTTCCAAGATGAAACAACTATTTTTTGACAGGTCAAACAAACAGGTTTTGAATGACTTTTCTTTGAAGAGGAACATAAATTTAATTTCAATATTTATTTGAGTTGTTTATAAAGAGTTATACGTAAAGCAATTTTACGCCTTGTGATTATAAATATCTGACAACATTCCTTGCCACTTTGTTTGAGGGACAGTGAAGGAATTCAAGTCTTTTATAGACCAAAACATAGTCTCTCAAGATGGTCTGGTCTGGAAGCCCGGCAAACTTCGAAGTAACAAAATAGAAGACCTAGTGTTTGATGTTTAACTGTACCTCACCGTGCACCTTCATTGATTTGGTTAAACTGTCTTTAGATATAGCAAGAAGATTGAAAATCTAAAAATTAATGTTCTTGGCTTCATTTAATTTATTTCGGTGTTGTATAAGTTGTCTGTACAAATGGAGTCTATACTCATCGACCCATGGTTCAGGGTACGACCGTTGATCAAGTCCGTAATCATTTGGAGCTACGCACGGCAGTGAGGGCCATTATTGTGGTAACGATGACCCAGTATATTGCCTTTCCACCTTGCACCCTCTTTGCCAATGTTAAGGGGGGTGCATCCTCCCAGTAAGTCCATCCCTGCAGGTGTGCAAAATATATTTGACTTCTTCTTCTTTTACATGAAAACTTAATTCCCTTTGCCAGGATAATTGTGGTGTTTTGATATTTTCGAAAAGGGGAAGGTGGTCGAAATGTGATGTGTCATTTTTAATTTACAACTTCCGGTTAAATGTTGTGTTTGGAAGGCCCGCCGAGGTGTGACTGTAAAGCTATGAGAAGTGATTCCAACTGCAATACGCACAAAAAGATTCAAAATGTTTTATTTTTCTTATTTGTCTTTAGTTTTCTATAATACATATTTTGTATGCAAACGCTATTTTGAAGCCCAAGCAGGTAATTTGCTTGGGAACGCTCCAACCGGTTATGGCGAGTCGCTGATTTACCAGCTTTTGCCTTTGATGCTTTTCGCTAAAAGAGCGCTAGAAGAACGTCCAACTCAGGGCGTTTGTGTAAATGAGTAAATGACGTGACCTTTGTGCTGCTGTTTACAGTATATTGCGAACACGCCTTTGATAAACAATCCAGTTCGAAAGTTATGAGCGATAAAACTCAGAGTATAAGCAATAAATGTTTTTCAGCAGCCATTAAAATATGACAACGAAGAGATTGATTGCGATGTAACTGAACTTGACCAAAAGACAGAACTAATTCTACATGTTATTTCTCAATCACCCATTATATTGTTATCTCAATTTTGTTTGGGGGGGATGATTTTAGACGAGGTTATTCAAAACTTAGGATCATAAGTCGATATTTGCAATGACTGCTACAGGAAATAAACTTGACCGAATTAGCCACATAAGAGAATAACTTGGCTCAGGGCCTTTTTTAAGGATTTTCCCGTGGAGGGGGGGGGGGGCGGGGCATTTATTGAAAAGGGACCTTTCTGTGAGATAATATACTACAGGGAGATAGCAATGGCTGAAGGCCACGTGTGTGGTCAACATACCATGCACGCATGAATTCGGGGCTCTGGGTGTAATCCCCCAGAAAATATTTGAAATTGGAAGCACAGAAATGCCATTTCCTGCATTCTGAGCATCCAAATGTGCTCCAAAATGTATGCTAAGTATACTTGTATTTGAAATAAAAGAAGGAAAATAACCCACAAAAAGTAAAAAAAAATATTAACCATAATTTATCATTACTTATTAGAGGAGGATACCAATGGTCACGTGTGTGGGGGTGTACTCCCCCAGAAAATTTTTAAAATTTGAAACACGGAAATGCCATTTGCTGCATTCTGAGCCGGCATCCAAATTTGCTCCAAAATGTATGCTAACTATACTTGTATTTTAAATAAAGGAAGGAAAAAAAACACAAAAAGTAAAAAAGTATTAACCATAATTTATGATTACTTATTAGAGGAGGATACCAATGGTCACGTGTGTGGGGGTGTACTCCCCCAGAAAATTTTTTAAATTTGAAACCTGAAAATGCTCTTTCCTGCATTCTGAGCATCCAAAAAAAAATAAATTATTAACAATAATTTATCATTACTTAGTGGTAAAAAAACGTAACAATTTAAATCGATCTGGTTAAACAAGGACAAAGGATAAAGCCTAAAACTTACTTTCCGTTTATTTATTTGTTATTCTTCGCTGTTTTGTTGGTATAAATTTAGGAAAAAAATTCTGTCTTCGCGAAGTTAGCTATCGTGAAGTTTTGTCTGAAATCAAAAGTTTGCGCTCGGGCTGTTCATGTGGCCCTGATGGTATTCCTGTTAAATACATCAAAATGGTGGCGGAGCAGCTAGTATCACCCCTGACACATATAAAAAACAACTGCATATCAAAACAGCTATTTCCATCACCTTGGAAGACTGCGCGTATCTGTGCTATTCCAAAAGCTGAGAAGATAACATTCAACAACGACCTCCGTCCTATATCCATTCTTCCAACCTTATCCAAGATCTTCGAACGTCTGGTTCTTCGACAAATGTCTGATTTCGTAACCAACACAACTATTGGAGTACATAAAGAATTAGTTAGTGCCTACCGCAGAGGTCACAACACCACGACTGTCATGTTGGCAATGCGAGATGACATTTATCGAGCTATGAAAAGAGGTGAAGTTACCATAGCTGTTCTTGCCGACTTCTCCAAAGCATTTGATACTGTTTTATATTCGACCATTTTGAGAAAACTTCACCGGCAATGTTTCTCCAAAGATTACCTCAAGTGGGTTACAAGCTACCTCACTGGACGACGCCAGTTTGTACAAATCGATGACGCGGTATCAAGTACTACCGATGTCTGTTTTGGAGTTCCACAAGGTTCCATTCTTGGTCCTGTTCTGTTCAACCTCTATGTGAACGATCTTTCCGACAATCTTAACCCTACGATATCTTCTCACCAGTATGCTGATGACACTTCCCTCTATTCCCATTGCAAGCCAGCTGATATAAACTCGTGTGAAAATAACATTCAGTCCAACCTTGATGATCTCTCAACCTGGTCTACTTCGAACAACCTTGTCCTTAACCCCAAGAAAACGAAAGTCATGCTCTTTTCTACAACTCAGCTCTCTCGTGTTCATCATCTTGAAGAACATTCCATCCATCTTCACGCCAATGGTGTTGAACTTAAACAAACGAATAATACGCTTCTTCTTGGCACTGTAATGCAGCAGAATTTGAAATGGAACGATGACGTAATTAGGGGGACTGGGGGGCATTTGCCCCCCCCCCCCAGCTTGTATGTTAAAAAAGGTCCTGTCTTGGCTTGCATAATTGCTTTGAGTTGGTTGCAAATTCTAACCGAAAGAATATCTTTTACGAAAAGACATTCAGATATATAGGCAAGATATTGAAGCCTTGGAGGACATTTACAGACCAATTTAAGCTGTAGTGTATGCAAAACACAATCTTTATGTGTTGAGGGTAGTTTAGATAGGAAAGGGAATGTTTTTACCTGATTGTAGATAAATATTTTTGAGCCTGTAAAATATTAATCACTGTGACTAATGTGAATTTTGTTGAACTCAGTTTTCTTAAAGAGGGCACAAGTTGCAGTAGGTTTACACTATCCTGACTCTTAAATATGTATATATATATATATATATATATATATATATATATATATATATATATATATATCATTTACATAAACTCAATTTGCTTAATGGACAAAAAACCCATACAGCGGAACAAATTGTAAATTGAATATATAGAGGATATTAAACCGTTGAGAAGAGATATGGATTTTATGTTCGAGTGGCAAAAGCAATATCTCAAGAGTGAGCGCAGCGAACGAGTGAGATATTGTTTTTGACACGAGAACATAAATCCATATCTTCTCGCAACTGTTTAATGTTCTGTTTATTATATGGACTTATTCAGAGTGACAAAAGTACACACAAAGACGACATGTAGGAATAGGCACGCGAAAGACCAGTGTAAATTGACTTTATTGACTTTATTAACTTTATTAAAAACGGTACTATTTCACCAAGATATTTACAAAAATTAAGACGGGTGATCTTCCAATAGGCCGTA